TTGAGTCCACTAGCCCCTATTTGAAAGACAAGAGTGATGCTGGGGATAGTTGTTTTGTTCCTCAGCAACTAGATGTACAACAGAACGAAACACAGCCTGGTCCTCAGCCATTCCCCAAATGGGCACGGTTGAGCCCAGTGCTGCCGCGGGTGTGCCAGTCATCTCATTGATGGTCCTTCTCTTTCTCTTTCTACTTTACCAAGCATGCTGTCCTCCGGGGACCGGTCCCACCTGATCACAGTCCAAAGTAACTAAGGTGAAGAAGTGTCAACATCCTTGCTTCTAAGGAGTATTCTAGCTGCTTCGTCCAAGAGCGATTTCTCGGTTCTTCTGGCACTCCGTGACACTGTCATTGTTTGTAGCCAACACCAAATGCGCCAGTTCTTGTCTGGCTTTCCTTAGTCATTGTCCAGCTTTTGCATGCATATGAGGCGATTGAAAATACCCTGGCTTGAGTCAGGTGCAGCTCAGGCCTCCAAGTGACACCTTTGCATTTTAACAGCGCGTCCATGAAGCTCCTAGGTGGGGAAGAGTGGAGGCTGTTGAGCAGTGTGGGAGAAAGACACTGAAGGCACACTTCCTCGACTTTCCCGTTTCGCTCAGAGCCATCTTTCATCTTTGTATTATCGTCTGCTTAAAGAATTTGGATTCAGTGCCAATGGAAAGATTTCATGTGCTGTTAACATTTATTTTGCTTCAAAGAACCAAGTTGTTTTTCAAGGATTTATCCACTCTTTGCTGTGTTCTTTCCCCTGTCTTGGAGGAACCCCTTTGAATGCCAAGATGGGTTATAGATTTCCCTGGTTACATTTCTTTCCGTTGCTTCTCACGAACCTCAAAGGGCATGGAGAAGTATTGATAAAATGTGAAGCTTTCCAAGACACGCTCTCAATGTCCTTCCGACATACAAAAATGGTCAAAGTGAGTAATTCAGCACAATTGGAGTGAACTTCTCGCCAAGACGCTTGGGGTGAAACTGGCTAGCAGTGTGAAATGATTCTCTTTATAAACTAACAGCCTTGTTTTATGATGTGTCTAGTTGGCAGGCCAACACCTTAAGGGCCTTAAGCATATATATTTGGTATTTTCCCGAACTGGAGCAGCCGAGCAGGCTGCACTGTGGCACGCTGCCTTGGCTGATTCGCAGGTGGAAACAGTGTAAATCAGGCCGTAGAGAGCTGTGTTCCCTAAAACTTTACTTGTTTACAGGTACCTCAGACTTCATACTTTTATATAATCCATAACCATAGATGGGAATCTAGAGGACATTGGCACAGGAACTGGATGGTAGAAAAAAATAGATGACAATCCTATTGGGAACCTTATCTTGCTTCATATTGTCTGCTACAGAGAAAATGGTGGTCCGTAGTGTACAGACGTTTACATGTGTAAAGATCCCTAATGGACATGGAGAATTGTCAGCAAATGGAGTACCCTCTGACCTCTTTGGGCACCCTTGCTTTTCACCTTGTGCTCTTTATAAGCACAGACTTAACACATTGTTACTGAACCACTCCGATACCTGTTCCTTATCCTTCCAGGGTAATGTAATGTTTTCTTAAAGGTTGTTGCTGACAGTTGGGAAAACATTCATAATGTGTTCAGTGCAAGAAAGAACTTCATCTAGAATGCTGCCTAGCAAGACTAAATGATCCCAGTCATTTGGGGAAAGCATCGTGTTAGTAACCCCAAACTCCTGGGTTCTCGGGTAGGGTTTTTATTTTTTTAATTTTACTCTCTTCCCTTTTGCTTCTTCCTTCACCCACAAGGGTGTACTAAGGCTGGAGAGAACGGAATTCTTATCTTCCAATGAGGCATCTATATAGTACATCAAAGCAAGGAACTAAAGAGAAGAAGCACTGCTGGTAGAATTTCAGGAAGGATGAATAATGGAAAGACCTGAGTACTGGAGCCCAAAAGAGCTGGAATTGAGCTCCAGCTGTGTCATTTGAAACTGATGGCCTTGGGCAAATTATTTGCCCAAGCCCGAGCTAAGTCACAGTTTCTTTGTTTCTAAATTTGGCATGAAAATACCTGATTCATAATCACTTGAGAATTAACTGAAACTGTGCATTTAGAAGTATTACTGAAATACCTAACAAAAAGTAGGTGTTCAATAAAGATTACTTCTTTGAAGAGACATGCACAAGGATGTGGGGCGAGTCACAGGACTTTCTCAGTATTCTAATCTGCCAGGAACAGGGCTGCCTGTCTGTGTGTATACTGGTGTGAACCGGTGTGTGTGTGTGTGTGTGTGTGTGTGTGTGCACATGAGACAGAGATGGGAAGAGTGAAGTGAGGTATTTGATAAGATTCATTTTCCCAAATCATCTTCTTAAGTACTTTTAGGTGTCTGCAACTTCAGAAGGTCCTTGGTGAACTCGAAATGACAATCAAGGGAACAGAGTGGGTTGGGGGAGGGGTATTTCACCCACATATGATAGAAATATAATGAAACATTTTTAGTTTATTTTTTGTGCTCTCTAGATTTACTTTCTCTTTTGGACAATGTTGATCCCATAAATTTTGTTTTTTTAAGCTTCATTTTCTGTTCTGGTCAATCTATTTGGGGCCAACACATTCTCTTGTCACATGTGTTAATATTACTGTCTTAGGATCTGTCAAAATGAAGAATAACTTTCTTTCCTGGGCCAGACCTGGTTGATACTCTTAATTGCAAAGGGCCAGACCTTTCTTGGCAGCAAAATATATGAACTGGGCACAAGTTCTCACAGATATTTTTTGTCTCACTCAACTGTCATGCCAAAACAATATGTCAAAATAATATGAGGGAGCCTCAACAAGTTCATGGAAATATGAAGCTAAAAGATGATAGAATTTTTCTACAACTTTATGACACTTATTGTGTAAACATTACTGTCCTTGCTTAACCAGAATTGAGTATTTGCCATGGTTGACAGGGTCCAGCTAGAACCGGTTTCTGCTCCTTTTAGGATTGAGAGTAGATACGTCCATCTTTCAAACACAATCCGTGTCGATTTTAGGCCTCTTGGAGAGTTTACTGTGGTTGGTGGTCGGTGGATTGAATCAGTGAGAGTAACGGTGGTCTCAAATACAGCAACGATTGTGAGGACACAGCAAGACCAGGCATACAAAGGGCGTCAAACCCTGCTTCATGGAGAGTCTTCCTCTTGTTTGCGGACCCTCCCCTTCACCGAGCATGATGTTCTTCTCCATGGATGGGTCCCTCCTGATGACATCTTCGAAAGAAGGCGAGAGACAATTTTAGCATCATCACTTGGAAGGCGCATTTTGGCTCTATTTTTTCAGTTAGATTTGCCTGTTTTTCTGGAAGCCCATGTGATAGTCAGTGTTCCGCACCAGCCCTACTTGAGAGCCATCGACCCTCTTTTTCACTCTTCTTGAGTCATCGTCAGCGTTCACGTCTGAGAAGACCGAAAACAGTAGTGGGCCAGGCTGACCTTTGTCCTCAAATGTTTACTTTTGACCACTCGAAAGAGGTCTTTGGCAGCAGATTTGTCCAGGTGAAATACTCTTTTTGATTTTTTTTTACTACTCCTTTCATGTGTGTTGATTCTGGATCTAAATAAAATGAAATCTTTGACAACTTCAATTATCTCCATTGACCTTGGTGTTCCTTATGGGTCCAATTGTGAGGGTTTTTGTTCTCTTTATGTTAAGGTGCAATCCATGCTAAAGGCTATAGTCTTTGAGCATCAGCAGCAGGTGCTCAAGTCTACCTCTGTATCGGAAAGTACTGTCGTGTCGCCTGCGAATCACAAGCTGGTAGGAGCCTTCCTCCCATTTTGCTGCTGTGTTCTCCTTTAGATAGTCTGTGAGGAAGAACCGGGCAGTCTACTTCTGAAAAAAATAATGCTGAGGGAAAACGTTCTGGATAATAATGGAATGTTGTCTTGGTAGAATTTCCCAAAGGCCAGAGCTCCTTTGGCTTCTGCTCATAGTGAGATCTTACCAACCCTTTCTTCTGGTTTGTTGAGATGTAAGCCGTCAGGTTTTGTTGTTGTGTTTTTACATAAAAGAAGATCGGAAGACATAACACAGGTGAGTAGCCACTGAGAAAATGAGCAGAATACCTGAAAAAGAAAACATCAAGCATAAACTTTGATGAGTTTCCAGGAGAGAGTTACAACGATTGCACAAGAAAGGGATGAGGTTTGGGTTCCATTTGCTGCTTGAGAATAAAGGCTAGAAGTAGTGACATCCTGCTCTTGTAAGAAGGAAAAGGAAATACGTCATGTGCCATGCGCGATTGACCCCTTCCTCATCGTTTTTATGGGAATATCTGAAATGCTCCCCAGAGTAATACAGTAGTATAACTTTATCTAAAAGGATTCTGACACTCAGGTCCACGAACTGGAAGTCTGAGATATTCTCAAACTTTATACCACAACTAAAATATTTGAAACATTATTTCAATAAATTGGTCTCATTCATAACAGCAAGCATTTTATTGTTTTGCATTTAAGAATACCATTCAGAGAAAACATCTACAGGCTTTGTGGAAAGGCTAAAAGTACCATAACACTAAAAGTCGTTAAGAATCCTTGATGTAGTGGGATTTTTTTTTTTCAGAGAGAGGATGTCATTTTCCATGTCCTGGTCTCATTAATTCTCACAATTCGTAGTACTCCTTTTAGTGGCCTCACCACAATGTTCTCAAACTCGGTCGGCTGTGCTAAGTTTCTAGGACATGCACATGGAAGTTGTCCTTTGGGCAGAACATTGACTTCAACATGGTAACAGGGCATTTCATAATGAACGTTGTCTCTCTTCTAAAGAATTCAACATTTATTGGAAAAAATCATATTGCTCTTTCCCTACTTATTCTGCTAGCCAAAGAGGATACTAGATCAAATAAAAAACAATCACGTATGAGACCATCAGCTTGTAGTCTAGTGTAAGTGTATGTGTGTAATAACATCTTGATTTATGTTTTCCCCTTGCAGATCTTGGAGGCATCAGAAGTTTAATGGGCCTTCCCAGCATTCCAGACGACTGCCTTGCAATGAAGCGCTGAGTCACAGTCTGGGGGTCTAAGGTACTGGCAACAACGTGGAACCCCCAGACAGCCAACCCCACTTACATCCATTCCGAGCACAAGCCCAAACTGAGCCTGGCCAGAAATCAGAGCAAGCACTAGAGAAAGATTTCTCTGTGGATGGAAAGTGGAAAAGAGAAGAGAGGTTCTAATAAATTGCAACAACCCTTTCACCATTCTAAAGAGCCCACCTTTCTTATCAACCAGGCCATCCTACGTAGTGACTCTCCTTCTGGTGGTTTACCAGAAACTGAGAGTGCTGTACTTTCTGACGAGGTAAAAATAAGCACTCAAAGAAACAGACCGGGAACTGTCATACTAGCTAGAGGGTCAAGTAGGAGAACTATGTCAGAAGGTCCCTTTAATCCGCCAGTGATCCCATCCCGACGGCCTGGATTCAGGGTCTGCTATCTCTGTGGCCGAGAGTTTGGATCCCAGTCACTTGCCATTCATGAGCCCCAGTGCTTGGAGAAGTGGCGTCTTGAAAACAGCAAGTTGCCCAAACACCTGAGGAGGCCGGAACCCTCCAAGCCACAGCTTCTTAGTGGTAGTGACTCCGCCAACCTTCAGGCAGCTAACGAAGCAGCATTCCAGAGCGCGCAGGCGCAGCTGTTGCCCTGTGAAGTCTGTGGTCGCACATTCTTGCCAGATCGGCTGCTGGTGCACCAGAGAAGCTGTAAGCCAAAGGGCGAGGGTCCCAGAGCACCCAACCCCAACAGCTCGGATGGTCTTACTAGCCCCAAGAAAACACGTAGACCACGGACTCTCGTCTGCTACATCTGTGGCCGGGAATTTGGCACCCTGTCCCTTCCAATTCATGAGCCCAAATGCCTGGAAAAATGGAAAACAGAAAACGACCGTCTTCCCAGGGAGTTCCGCAAGCCACTCCCACAGAAGCCCCCATCTCTTTCAACCGGACAGTCCAACCAAGAGGGGACAAGTCCAGCTCAGCTTGTGCCCTGCCCAAATTGTGGCCGGACCTTTGCTGCACACCGCCTTCTAGTGCACCAGAGAAGCTGTAAAACTCACCCTAGTGGGCCAAAAGATGTCACCGGAGGGGGCCAGGGGGCCCCAAACAAGTCTGCTCCTTCCAAGCAGGAAAGGAACATGGCAGCACCCACTGTGTCTAAGAAGGTAATTCGTGCCACCTAACATGCACTGGTTGGATCTTGGAGGACCTTCTGCCTCCAGGGAACTCAGGGAACACCGTCCCCAACTCAGCCACTTCACTTGTCGGATGTCTTCTTACAATGGATTCTTTCTGCCTCAACACAGCCTGCCAAAGTCGATCCTCTGTAGGACTCCAGGGGCTTGACCTCTCTTAACAGAGTAGGTCTCAGAGCATCCTGGCCTGATTGGTTTATATTGGTTTTTGCCTCAAAAAAAGAACAAGACACAGACTTTTTCTTTCCTGACCATCATACCGCTGATTGCTAGGAAAGACTGTTGTTGGCAATGACTCAGTAACGCTGTGTCTACATGGTAGAGATATCATTCCCATTCCAACAGCCAATATTTATTGCCTGCTTATTTTAGTCATCTACCTTAGGAATTCATTCTTGGCAATGCTGGGCTAGGTTGAGTTTATCTTACTAAAATAGAATCTGTGTCAAAAACCCCAGATGACTTTAGCAATGATTGAGCTGGAGCAAGTTCAGCAAGACACATGCAATTCCTGAAAGTGTACCATGTTTTCTTTAAACACTTAGCTTATGGTAGTAACTGAGGGATCAACCCTGGGACAGCCACTGGCACCACGGAGTGCGAGGGCCCCGGCCCTGGCAGGTCCTGAGCTTTCTTTGCTGCTGCTCTGTAGCTGCTGCCAGAGTTGAACTGCAGGACTTAGACCCCATCTTGAGACACCCCCCAAAAATGGCTCTCAGTGTCTTCAACTTATAAGGTGAAGTGTTTGGAGACCTTTATTGAAAATATCAGCATGAACACAGGATTAAGGGAAGGATTCTCATGAAGGGACTCCCTGCAGACCAGGCCCGGTCAAGGCTCTTGGTTTTTGTCCATTAAACAGAGGCGTAAGTAGGCTATCTTGGGTCACATCTCATAGAAGGTGATGTCATGAGAAGCCGGGGGCACAAAAGCCTTCTTTCTTTCTGCTTGCTACTTGAAGTGTCCTTCCTGTGAGGGACTCTTTTGAATGGACCGTTTAAGGACACTAAAGTTATACAATCTATTATAAAAGATAAAAACAGAGATTTGGTGGCAGGGGCAGGGGCACATCTATTTTTTAATGCAATTTTCCTTATTTATTTTTAGAATTCGTTTTTGGGCGGGTGGTGCGCGGGGAGTGTTTAGACCAGTTTCCTAACTTCCATGTTTAGACCGAGATGATTGTGGACTTACTGGTTTATCAGATTCCAAGACAATGATTCTGAAGCCGAAGAATCAGACTAACAGATGCTGGGCAAATTTTCCGATGAACGTTGAAGAAAGAACAACTAATTGTCTTGCCTAACAAAACCCCAAACGCTTCAGTGTGGCACAGGCTGCAAGCCGGCCTCATAAACATGATCTGTTTTTCCCATCTTCTGGCTGTTGTTTTCCTTCCAAAATGTGTGGGGTCTGGATTCGGAGAGGAAAAAGAATCCGTGTCTCTGGGCTCCAAATCAGAAACTCCTTTCACGTTCTGATTCCCAGTCCTGTTTTATTTAGTTATTTTATTGTTTTAATTGTATGCATTTACTTCAAATGTTCTTATTATAGATCTGGAGATAGGGAGGAGTGTGGTCAGGATTTCTGTGCTTGTTGTTCTAACACATACTTTGTGCTCCCAACAGTGGAGCCAACAGGCTGAGCACAGCGTGTTCTCACTCAAGTCACGACTGCTGGGAGGCGGGCCTGGGCCCACGGGTCACGTAAGACACCTTCCTGACTCACCCCATTATCTGCAGAGGCCAGCGATGGGCCCCTGTGTGTAGATCAGGGTAGGGAAATCCATCAGAATAAAAGCCTCTGGACCTCTTGGCCAAGTCAGGACTCCCACAGCCCTGCCCCAGACCTGGAAACAGGCATGGCAGTGGGAAGTTGGCACCACTGCCATCAGAGGTGTGCCGGCAGGTTTGGGGACCACACAGGCTGCTTCTTAGGGCATAGAAAGGTCATCCAACACAAGCTCTCTAGAGCTGCCAGATTTAAAGCAAATCCGGGTTAATTAAAATGCAGAAAATCCTTCCATGTCAGAGCAGTATAGACTTCTGGGAGAAGATGGTTGCTAATCCACAGTGCTTCCAGATGAAAGCCATTTCTGGGTAATGGAGTTTTCTTTCATGGTTATGATTCCATGTCGTCTACTGACTCCCCCAACACCCCCGTGCCCCTGTTTGTATCATTTTAAATGGATATAGTACAGGGAGTCACCCGTTTTCCATAAAGAGCACCGTTCTCAAGTTCGTCCACCGTGACGGCTGATTTGGGCCGACCGTGGACCACGTGTGCTCCTTTGTACAACTCCATGTTGGCTTAGTCCTGCACATCCTCAGTGTAGAGCAGCTTCCCTCTAGAGCCCTTGATCTGACTTCAGATTAGAATCCAACATCTCGTCCAATGTTTCCAAAGGCTTGAATCTCTCAAAATTTATTTTGTGGGTGTTGAGAACACCCACGGCACCCCCCAACCTTTTCTACAGCATTCACTCCCATGGATTCCATTCTTCAAGTTACACAAACATTCTCACCCTCCCTTCCTGAGCTGTTCTTCCTTTGTTAAATTCACTCTTCTTCCCCAAGGATCTCATCTAATCTTTTGGGCTAATGTTAATTTAATCCCACACAGACAGTTCTTAGGAAAGTAGAATGATCAAGGCAGATGCTTTGTATTAGCAAAAGCTCACCTATTGTTTGGTTTGAAAACGATTTCCAGGGGTATGGTTTTGGTTTAGGAGTACAAGGCTGTCTCTGAGCAATCATTTGACCCACCTCTCATAGCTCCAGACCGGGGAGAGTTCACGAACCCTTTGAGATTCTGTTCCGTCAGGGTTCTCGAACAGATTCTCCGATCGAAATGTTCGCCGCTGGGAGCGAGGCACTATCCAATTCTGGTCTCAGCAAAGGAGGTAGTTGTTCATAAAAGCAACTGCGCACACCTTCCATATCCACCTCCCAGTCCGGATTCTCCTCCTCCTCTTGTTGCTGCTGTTGAGTAGAGGTCAGGGTTCACACCTTAGAAGGCCAATTGCAAGCTTTAAGGCCCCAGGGGCTGCACAATGGAGTCGGAGCTAGAACAGGCAACCTGCTTATAGGCGAATTCCTTGACACTGACCTCCAAACTAAGGAACCATTTCTCAGGGTCCTGGTTATACATTAGCAATCTTGGGAGCTACGTGTGTGTGTGCACGTGTGCCGTTATTGAAGATATATCTATGAAAAAAAAAAGTTTGCCGATTCAACTCTTTATTGGTGTGCTACCTATTGACAGCAGTTACAATAATTGGCTGTTCATCCTTAATCAATGTGATTTTCCATCACTGTTAAACTCTTTCCCCCCAACCTCCAGCTCTCCTCTTCCCGAAACCACTAATAAGCTGGTCTCAACTAGGTACCTTTTCCTTGTCTTTTTATGTAAATGAGGTCATACAGTATTTGTTGTTTTGTAATTGACCTATGTTTTGCTCAGTGTAATGTCTTCAAGTTTATCCGTTTTGCATCACACACCAAGACTTCATTTTATCTACTGACTGTGTAGTATTCCATTCTATGTACGGCTCCTATTTTGTTTTTACACTCACCCTGCAGGCTAGTAAAGTCTTATAGTGAATTCTGCTGAGGGAAATGCAAAAGTAAGTCAGAAAGTATTGCTACCAGGATTCTAGATTATACCGATGGAGTTTATTCCAAACAACATGTGTTTAAACATTCCTCTGCCCTCAGTGGATGGTGCAGACCAGTTCTCTAAGTACTTCAGTTCTCTTTGTCACATGCAAGGGACCTCAGAAAACGAGCTTTGATCAAAACAAAGCTGCCTGAGGGGACCAGTGGGGCTAGTTAAATTCAAGATAGATCAGCTCAGATGGCTCTGAAAGTGTTTTTTTGGATTCCAAAGCAGGATCTAGATAGATTTTCTCTAAAGACATAAGACAATCATGGGAACTTATCACGAAGAAGTTTTTTACAAATTGAACACTGCACTGGTGAGCAAAAGGCTAGGAAAGTTTTGTAAGAGGAAAACATTTTTTTTTTTCATCACAGCAGTGTTCCTGTTTGCTTCTCCAGGGTAGCAGGGCTGTCCTTTGAGAATTTTGTTTGGAAACTTACTCAATTCACTCTACAGCCCCAATCTTACTCTTTCAGACTTTTATGCTCCCCAACTCCAAGAACCTTGAAAAGGACCCTAACTTTAGTCCCTCAAGGATGCCCAAACTGCCATTTTTGATGTGATGAAAAAGAATTGGGTAGAATATTTTAGCGGACGTATCAGAACGACGAAAGCACTGCCTTCAGAAGCGAATAGTCTCAAGGGGAGGCTGTGTTGAGAAACAATCGCTTCCAATGTAAGACATTTTTGTTTGTTTAATAAAGGTTTCTGTGATCGTGTATCCATACATTTGACTTACCCTCTTTTTTTCCAAGCCTAGTCACGTACTTGGAAAACAATGCGCTCTGCTTGGGCGACAATGACTTCTAGCTGGGCAGAGTGAATTAGTCTGCTTGGAATGTTCTTTCAACACAGATCGGCCCAATTGCCTCATGACACAGATTTTCCTGTTCACTTTCAGTCAAATCTGGGCACATAGACATGTTGCTGAGAGAAGTTCACCTCCAAGACTAGGTGGGCATTGTGCTGCTCTTCTGCTTTGCTCTCTAACTACTGCAGGGCTGAGTCGCTCCCCGTGCTTCTCATCTGATAGGCTGATACTGTTCACATTGGATTGTTCACGTTACTTCTCATCCGATAGGACAATGCACGTTGTTATTTCACAAAAAAAGTTGTGTAGGACACTGACCTTGAGCACACCTGTGTCCAATAGATCCTTTGGATGTCCCTTCTAGGACCCTCATTATATATTTCTACTTGGAAGCTGTGGCCCCCGGGCTTGCTCCCCATCATATGTGCAATGAGCATCAGCACACCCCCTTTCTTTCGTTGAGGAGAAGAGAGGCTTCATAATATCTAATAGGGCAAAATTTTAAAGCTAGTGTTAACCCCATACAAGATTGTAACTTATCCTATGGGAGACCAGAGATGAGCATTCAAACATTTTAATTTGGCATCTGTATTAGTCTAGGTACTTTAGAGAAACAAATCCACAGCAGCTCG